ACTCTTGACCCAGTGATAAGATGTGATATTTGAGCAGTGGATGAACTTGCAGAATTCTACCTGCTCATTTGCCTGGTGATTCCTTAAAATTAGTGACTTGACCCTACAAGATAATTGGATAGAGTTGGGTTTTGGACGAAAGTCCAGAATGAAGTCAACTGTTTGACTTCTGGATGACTTATCAGATCCAAAATGCCTTAACATGGGGTAAGAGGCCCTTCCTGCTGTGACCACTGGTTACTTTTCAACCTTATTTCTCACCATTCCCCTCTGTTTACCTTCCCCTTGAGGCAATCCACTTACTTGAATGTGCCAAGTGCTCCCTCACCCCTCATGCTTTTACCAGTCTTCTCTCAGCTTGGAATACTGGTCTCCAGCCTAAAACCCTTGGTCAACTTCCATTTAGTCTTGGAATAAAATTCAAACATGATTATGCATGACCACATCCTTGCCTATTGATGAAGAAAAACCAACCCCATAAGGAAGCTTCATGTTACCTAAACTGCCAACTGGAGGGAAGTTGAAACCTTATGAAAGTCCCGATCTTTAAGTTTTTAACAGACACTGTGTTCCATCAGATAGATAATGCTTTCCATCATCTTTTACTGTAGCCAGCTTTTGAATTTCCTAACTTACAATCATATTTTCCCCTCCTCTGTGGAATAGCATGACATCCTTCTCCACCACCTCAGTTTCATGAACCTTCCCCTTCTTTCCCTGAATGTCATGAAATCTCTCCTCCCCTGAGTGTCACAGGACATTTCTCAGCCAGGTTCTTGAGTGTACCCATGTTAAAAGAAACCTGTCACACCATTTCTGTTGTTTTCTTTCCCCAAATCTAAAACGTCAGTCTAATACTGAGAAAACATCAGACAAACCCAGACTCAGAAACATTCTACAAAATACCTGGCACTCTTCAGGAGTGTCAAGGTTAAGAGAAATAAGGGAAGACCAAGGAACTGTCACAGACTGGAGGAGACTAAGGAGACATGACAAGTGATGGATATTGGATCCTGGATTAGGTCCTGGGACAGAAAAAATAATTGAGTGGTAAAACTGGAGAAATCCAAATAAACTGCAATTAATTACACTGCACCGATGTTAATTTCTTATTTTTTTGAGGAAGTGCCATGGTGTGTAAGATGTTAACATTAAGAAAGCTAAAAGAATACCTATATGTAATTTGACACATGAAAATAACTAAGGTGTGGGGGTCACTCGGCTTTTGATTGGAGAACACTCCCCTTCTTCCTTCATTAGTTCTTAGTAAATGACGAATCCTGACATAAAATTCTAAGTTCTGCACTACTTCTCTGATCTTATCTCATGCCACCTTTCCTTTGATCCATTTCACTCTGGCCCGGACCTTCTAGTTCCGGGGGCACCAGCCTCCATTGCAGGGTCCTTGTGCTTGTGATTTATTGTATTTCTCAGTTCTTTCCCCTGCTTCTTTGCAAGGCTGGCTTCTCTCCTTCAAATCTCAAGCCTAATGTCATGTTTCAGCTTAATGTCCTTCAAGGTCAAGGAGAAACCTTTCTTGACCACCTCTCCCATCAATCTGTCAGACCACCTTTTGTATTTTTCTTCATTGCCATCATCACAATCTGTAAAGTATTGATTTATTTACAGAGTTTTGCACCTCCAGAATGTTTGCTCCATGAAAGCAGAGACCTTGTCTATCTTGTTCTCTGTTCTATTGCCTGCCCTAAACACAGTGCTTCGCCTGCAATAGTTGTTCAACAAGTATTTGTTAAGTGGATGCCAAAGGATAATTTTCCAAGGGTTGAAAATACAATATTCACCAAACATATAGTGGGCATGTGTCAAGTATTTACTTCACCCATTTAATGACAGAACCAGCAAGATAATAAAGCTGGTCTAGGGAGAATTCTGGGAACAGAGTCAGGAGGCATGTTGAGATAAGTTAGTTTGGTTAGAGGCACATCTGGTTAATGTCCTAAAGGGCAATAAACTGTAATCTTTGGGGTTGTCTTTTCTCCTGAATCATTTGCATTTCTTTTTTTAAAGTTATTTATTTTTTAATTTGCATCCAAGTTAGTTAGCTTATAGTGCAACAATGATTTCAGGAGTAGATCCCTTGATGCCCCTTACACAGTTAGCCCATTCCCCCCTCCCACAACCCCTCCAGCAACCCTCTGTTCTCTATATTTAAGAGTTTCTTATGTTTTATCCCCCTCCCTGTTTTTATATTATTTTTGCTTCCCTTCCCTTATGTTCATATGTTTTGTATCTTAAAGTCCTCATATGAGTGAAGTCATAGGATATTTGTCTTTCTCTGACTAACTAATTTTGCTTAGCATAATACCTTCTAGTTCCATCCATGTAGTTGCAAATAGCAAGACTTCATTCTTTTTGATTGCTGAGTAATACTTCACTGTATAAAAATGCCACATCTATCCATTCATCTGTCAGTGAATGTTTGGGCTCTTTCCATATTTTGGCTATTGTAGATAGTGCTGCTATAAACATTGGGGTGCACGTGTCCTTTTGAAACAGCATACTTGTATCCCTTGGATAAATGCTTAGTAGTGCAATTGCTGGGTCGTAGAGTAGTTCTATTTTTAATATTTTGAGGAAACTCCATCCTGTTTTCCAGAGTGGCTCACAAGCTTGCATTCCCACCAGCAGTGCAGAAGAGATCCTCTTTCTCTGCATCCTTGCCAATATCTGTTGTTGCCTGAGTTGTTAATGTTAGCCATTCTGACAGGTGTGAGGTGGTATCTCATTGTGGCTTTGATTTGTATTTTCTTGATGATAAATCATTTGCATTTCTAATGGACAAAACCCTACAAATGAACAGGTAACTTCACAGAATCTGGACCCTAATGATAATAATCAATAAGTCAAACAAAGTTACATTCTTTAGAGGAATAATGCTTGGGTAGGTCTGCTGAGCAAAGCTCCAGCATGACATCAAAAGGACATGTAATTATCTTTTTGCCTTAATGCTAAGTATTGGACAATTAAAAAAAAAAACCCAGAATGAATGAACAAACTGAAACTTTCCAGTTGAAAGGGGTAGGGCTCCATACGTTAGGGAGCTAGACAGCAGCTATCTGCTTTATCACGTCTTCCACAAAAGTCATCAGCATTTGATTTCACATCTTCTTCAGGAGTCAGTCAGTGTCTTGCCTTCTCTATGAAGTCTGCCTAGCATTTTCTCTCACCCCTGGTCAGGCAAACTGAAGTATTCATCCTTGTTATTGAGACAGTGATTGTTTTCAAGACCCTAGATTTGTTTCCTGCAAAGCCCTGGTTTATGCCAAGATGCCCTATTCCTGCTGTATCGCTTGCTTCCCAGGCCATGTTTTTGTTTTGTGGGTATACGTGAGATGTCCCCTGGCAATCCCCAGAAATAATTGAAGCAGTGTAGAGAGGAGACTTTGAGGGTGAGAACCCCATCCCTGCAGTCAGCAAGTGAGGCCGAGGGGTCAGGACAAAATAAGCAGAAATATTAAGGAGGACCTCATTTGTATTCTGGCTGGTGAAGTCAGGGGCCTACTGGTCAGACAAGTATCAAAGATGCTTCTTCATTGTTCTCTCCATCCCATGAGATGCTCTTCTGCATCAAGTCTGGAGGCCAGTCTTGCACAGGTATCTTTCTCTAGTTTTAGAATTTACCTTATTTGGGGTGGGGGTGGGGAGAACAATCTCTAGGACCAAAGTCCTGAGCATCGAACCAGGGACTATTCCAAAAAGAAATCATTTCAAGGCCAATAATGACTCAACCCAAGCTGAAAACAGTCCCCTTTGTACATCAGAAGGGACCTTTAGGCAAGTGGCATCTTGCCAGGGAATTGACTCAAAACAAATCTGTGGCAGCCCAGAGGTGTTGGAGGGGGGTTTCAGAAACAGTCAGCACCGGGAGGAAGGTGCAACAGTTTACAGGAATTGCCTCACTCACACTCTGATGTTCATCCTCTGCAGACCACTGCTCTTCTCTGCGGCTTCAAAACAGCACGCAGGAATCAGAGATGGTTACATCAGGAGATCAGGAGACCCTGGAGACATTCGACTTAATCTCTTTCCTTGTGCAGGTGAAGATTCCATGGCACAGAAAAATTAAAGGGTTTGCCCAGAGCCACGCAGTGGAGAACTGTGAGCTAACCCTGGCTCTCTTGTTTCTTAGTTCAAGTATTTCCAATCCTTGGTAGCTTATATATTAGCTAGACAGAAGGTGTGGCAAACACATGGGTTTGCTTTCCTGCTGATGTATCTCTATTCCTGGTGCAGAGCGCAGGCATCAATCAACAAACAGTAGGAAGAGAGATGTGGCCCCAGCGTATGGGAGCAGCATGTGACAGTGTCAGCACAGACATAATTCAAAGCAGTGCCATGGCAACCAGTATTCACTTTGGCCCCAGATAGCACTGTAAGCTTCTGAGTATAATAAAAAATGGCTTCTCACTTGCTGAGCAAGAGTGTTCCAGCCTCTGTTTCCCCTGTAGTGAGTGACTCTAAAATATCCTAAGCACTGACTAGTCTAGCTTCTTTACCAAAGGTTGGGTTCAGGTGGGGAGTGGTGTGTGTTCCAACAAGAGAAATAAACTCCACAGACTTGGGAATCCCCGAGAATTACTATGTCTAGCAGTATGGTTTTACTTCCTCGTAGAGTAATGCATTGTTTCAAAGTGTTTTCCCTGAACACTGATGTTCCAATGAAGTACCTTGGGTGGTAAGCAGAAGGTCAGGGGGAGGGGCACCACCACGGCTATCTTTCATATATATATCAGGTTCTGCTGCTACCAAAACAACAACAATGATGACGACAGTAAGCCATGGCAGTAGACCGGGAGAGATCTGGACTGAGTTAAGTGTCATTAGTAGAATTGTTTTTTAGGCCATCATACTGACATGATGAGGCTTCCTTGATTTTAACTTGAATGCTCATGTAACAGGCAACACAGAACTCAAACAGACCATCTGTTTTCCCTTAATATGTACTTTCCCCTCCTTTTCCTAGGTTTCCAACAGGGTACCTTGGAATATAGACTTGCGGCTTCCCTGACACGGAGGCACGGGACTGTGACACTGCTGATGCCACTGAGTACAAGTGTGGCTTCCCTGACTGTGCCCTCTCCTTGGGCCTTCTCATTTTCCCTTCGGCTGGTTGTAGTGTGACAAACCCTGTGGGCTGGAAGATGATGGCACACAGGAATGGTACAGCAGTAAGGTACACTTTTTTGATAATTCAAGAATATTGCTACTTATTTTATAAGTACCGAAAACAAATAAGGTAGGAAGTATTCAAGCTGCTAGATACCTGAAACCTGGTTCTGAATGAAGCTCTTGAACCTGAACTGCCTTACCAGCCCCCTATTATTTTAAAAGAATTCTTTTGTGGGTGGTTCAGTTGGTGAAGCATCCCACTTGGGTTCAGGTCATGATCTCACAGTTTGTGAGTTTGAGACCCACGTTGGGCTCTCTGCTGTCAGTGCAGAGCTCTCTTTGGATCCTCTGTCTCCCCCCCTCTCTCTCTGCCCCTCCCCTGCTGGGCTATCTTTCTCAAAAATAAATAAACATTAAAACGAAACAAGAATGCTTTCTGTATTAACAGCTAAATCAACATTCTGTAATACCCCCACCAAAACTGCCATTGGTCATGCTAAAATTGTTATTTAGGACACTTTGGGGTACAAGTTAACAACAAGCTTTACTCATAACAGCTTTAAAACATAGGCATTAAAAAATGACGTCACTTGAGAAGAAATCCAGAGGTAAGGAGATCCCAGGGCTGGTTCATCATTAGGTTGTTGTCGATGACAAATTGCTGCTATGACAAATTATCACAAAATTGACGGCCAAAAACAAAACAACGCAGACTTACTCCCTTACAGTTCTGGAGGCCAGGAGTCTGAAATCAGTTTCACTGGACTAGTGTCAGTTGGCAGAGCTGATATTTTCTGGAAGCTCTAGGGAAGAATCTATTTCCTTGCCTTCCTTAGCTTCTGAAGGCCGCCCACATTGCTTGGCCCATGGCCCTTCCTTGAGATGCTATAACATCACATCTCCTGCAGCCAAACCTCCCTCTACCTCCCCCTGCCACCCCCTTGTGGTGACAGGGCCCACCCAGAGAACTCAGGATAATCTGAGATTTGAGGATCCTTCGCTTAATCACACCAGCAAAGTCCCTTTTGTTATATAAAGTAAGATCGGCAGGTTCCAGCGATTAGGACATAGATATCTTCAAGGTTGTTATTTGGCCTACCACAGTTGTTAAGCACAGAGGCTCTTTCTGTTTCCCTGCCCTGCTGTTCTCAATGTTTTTGGTGACATCTCCCTTCAGGAATTTTAATTAATCATCAATAAATTAATTAATCCATTATAAAATTCCAGTATAATTGACATACAATGTTATATTAGTTTCAGGTGTACAATACAGTGATTCAACTCTCCCTTCGTGGTTTCAAAATCACATTGTGGAGTGCCTGGGTGGCTCAGTCAGTTGAGCGGCTGACTCTTCATATCAGCTTAGGTCTTGATCTCAGAGTTGTGAGTTTAAGCCCTGTGTTGAGCTCCACGCTGGGTGTGGAACTTACTTAAAAAAAAAAAAATAATATAATAATAAGATAAAAAGATAAAATCCCTTTGGGGCTCCAAGCATCACATCCTCATGAGGCCTTGTCTATGGCAAGAAGGGAGGAGTGTCCCCAGCATGCCTCTTTGGTTATCAAGGAGGACCTGCTTTCCCAAAGAAGCCACGGCAAGTCCCAGGAGTCAGGACTGGGTCGCCTGCCTGTGCTCCAGCAGCAAACAAGGCTGGGAATGTGCTGGTCTCTGCAGCATGGCGTGGGTACTGCTGCCAAGGGGGAGAACAGCTGCTAGAGAGGCAGCACCTCACTCTTGAAAGTCTTGCTGTTGATTCCACAGATATGAGCACCAGGCAGCCTTAAAGGCACACGTGACGAGAAGATAATCATGACAGATAAACTGTCAACCCACTGATGGAAGCAACGATGTTTAAGGTGTGTGTGTGTGTGTGTGTGTGTGTGTGTGTGTGTGTGTAAAGCATCAAACATAATGTTTAACAACTACGGTCATGAAACATACGCTCTTTAAGGATAGTGTGTGATAATGAAGCTGTCTTTCATTTGTTTAACTGATATCTGAATCACCTTTTCTGGGCCAAACTTCTCCATCAAGGGCTGAAGTTACGAATATGAATAAAGAGGGTCTCTGGCGTCAAAGAGATCCCAGATAATCATGGAAGAGATGATCTACTGAGGACATAGTGTTGCTCTGAGGGAGTCATGTGACGCTGCGGTGAAACATGGTGACGCTTTCTGAAACTCAGTGGCTGTCAAGTTTTATGGGAGCAAGAAATGAACTAGCAGGAGCCAGAACTGGCTGATGGCCTCTCACTTTCCCATTTCACAATTTCTTCCCTCCACACCGTCTCTCTTTCTCCTCTCTGCTTTCATTACTGGAGTTGAACACCCTACAACCGATGGACTCCTCCGCAGTTGGCTGTCACTGTGGTCACACCTTACACGGATGCTACAGCCACGTAGGAAGGTTGTGAGTGCAGGAGGCCTCCATAGGTACCTCTCGGAGATGGAAGATGACAAAAAGAGTGAGGAAAGGGGGAGCAGGGAGAGGAGGTGTTTGTAATTTGAGTCACTTATGTTAGCTGTCTGTACCACTTTTAGACAGCTTGTTCCACTTCTTTGAGCCTGGAAAAGAGTGAATAAAAATCTTGCTGGGTTTGGAGGAGGGGGGAGCCGCCCACTGCTCTCCCCAGGGAGGGCTGAAGCAGTCTGCCATGCAAAGGCTCACCGCAGGTGCGGAGATGTGGGGCTGGCGCAGGGCCAGACCCTGTTGTGTTTTGGATTAAGTAGGAAAAGTTCCTGCCCAGAAATAACAAAGCTGAAGGATGTGTGTGGGATTTTCTTCTTGTGCTCAGTGTGTTTCTACCTCCATCCTGGTCTCACTTCAGGAAGGGGAAGTTGGGGTGCTATTGCCCCTGGCAGGCCACTGTTAGTCCTGGAACCCCTTCAACAGTGTTCCACTTCCATAAACAATTACAGGGCAAATGCTCGAAGTATGAATTAGTCTTTCCGGGGTAGACACTTCAGGTTGCAGAGACCCTGAATCTTTAGGAAAGCTGAACTTCATCACTGGGGACGGGAGGGGGTGGGGATGGGGCCCCTATCTTAGCTGTGATTAAGGTGGCATTTTCCCCAAAAGCTAACATATTTTTCATCTTGACTTCAAATTAAAAACGTCAGTAAGGATACTCGGGTAGTAGATGAGAAGGCTCATTTTGTTTACATAGGGAAACAGTGCCCGGCTGTCTGCGGCTTCAGGAGGGCCCCAGGCCGCCCTAGGCCTGAGGCTGGCCTCACCTGAACAGGAATTCACTGGGTTCATGCTCCCTTCCCCCAGGAGAGAAGGTGAAGCAACGTTTTGAAAAGTTGGCTTCTCTCTGCCCTAGGGAAAGTGGGTCCAAAGGAGAAGGCTGCTTCTTTGTTGTTGTGGAGATTCTCCGGTTTTGAAGCGTCAGGGAGGCCTTTCCTGCTGGTCCACTAGAGGCAATTTTGGGGAGGATAAAGAAAATTAAGACGGAGTAAATAAAATAGGATGTTTGAGGGGGAAAACTGGAGGAGAAACATTGGAAGTGGCGTCGACAAGGGCTGCTGCCCAAGGGGTGCCATGAGACGGGCCCCCAGAAGGGGGTCGCTGGGAGTCTGTTCTTGAGGTGAAGTCCTACCAGCTTTTCCGTGTAGTCTGAGGAATTTTCGCTCCACATTCCGGCTTTCTTTATTTCTGATAACACCTGAATTCCAAGTGCTGCGTCCGTCAGGGCTTCACTCTCGGTACCTGGGGCATTTGTTGGAGTTTAAACCTGCATCTGCAGGGCTTACGGACACCAGAGTGTGGCGATGGGAGCAGTGGAGGCCATTTGATCTTCCGGTCATCTGTGCACATGAGTGTCTGCTGATTCTGCCCCTCCAACTCCCCAATTCATGCGGTTTGCACCTACACTACTCCTTGAAGGAACCCACTTGTTTCCTTCAAGTACCAGGGCCTTTTCTATGCTATTCCACGCTTAGTCTTTGTTGTTGTTTTTAATGTTTATTTTTGAGAGAGATAGAGTGCAAGTGGGGGAGGGTGAGAGAGAGAGAGAGGGAAACACAGAATCTGAAACAGGCTCCAGGCTCTGAGCCTTCAGCACAGAGCCCGATGTAGGTCTCGAACCCAAGAACCACGAGGTCATGACCTGGGTCAAAGTTGGGTGCTTAGCTGACTGACCCACCTAGACGCCCCTTCCACACTTAGTCTTGAGGGCAACAGAGTCCCTCTGAGACATGAACTTCTCTGCAGCAATTAAGGCACAGAGCCGCAGGCCCTGGGCCTCAGTGACATCTGTCCATCTGTCCATCCCTCTTCACCCAGCACAAAGCAAATTTTCTGGAGCGGAAAAGTCCCCCCTCCAATCTCACTTCCAAACATCTGGCTCTGCTTGACTTCTCTCAGTATCACTGTAAGCTTTAGACTTCTGGAAGCCACAGTTAAGAAGAAGTCTGTCTGCCTGTCTTTCTCATTCTCTTTTGCTTTCGTCCTTCCAAATGGCAATGGGCATGAAATAGGCTATCTGCTGGAAATGAGCAAAAGAGAAAAATATATGGAAAAGATTAGTTAAGGCTTCAAAATATTATTCTGTACACACATAGTTTGGAACCTCATATCATCCGCCCGGAACTAAACCAGTGTGTACATCAGGAACCAGAACCACCTGTATGCTCGCTAAAACTATAGAATCCTGTGCCCCATGCAAAGTCTGCTGATCGGAAGCCTTCCAGGCAATTCTTGTGTGCACTAAGGCTTGAGAGTGACCTAGTCCCAGCCTCAATCCAATCATCTATGGAGTTCAACATTGAGTTGTACCTGTTTCCAAGCCAGTTCTGAATACTTTCCTGTGTGTGTGTTCAAATCATGTAGGGATCTTGTTAAGTTGCCTGTTGGGACCTGAGATTCTACATTTCCTTTTTTAAAAATTAAATTAAATTAAATTTTATTTTAATGTTTATTTATTTTTGAGAGAGAGAGAGAGACAGAGTGCAAGCAAGGGAGGGGCAGAGAGAGAGGGAGACACAGAATCTGAGGCAGACTCCAAGCTCTGAGCTGTCAACACAGAGCCGGACACGGGGCTCAAACCCACAAACTGAAAGGTCATGACCTTTACTGAAGTCGGGCGTTTAACCCACTGAGTCACCCAGGTGCCCCGAGATTCTATGTTTCTAACAAAGGCTGTTGCTGGTTGGAGGACAATATTTTGAGGGGCAGCGTCTGGAGAGTCTATGTTGCCATCCGTTGCAGGCCTGTGAGTTTGTGACTAGCGGTCATCTAGACTCACTCTGCCTCACTGTTCCCCTCTTCCCTCCCCTTACTGACTCTACCCTTCCCCACTCCACCCTCCCCTTCCCACCCCCGGCCCACACCCCCCCCACACCCCCCTGCCCTTCCGGCCGGTCTTCCTCACTCTGTGGGCCTCCTCTGACTGTAGGTAAGTAACTGAACATCTCTAGAGAATCTTTAAGTTTGCTAATATGACAAAGCCCTTTTTTTTTTAATTTAATTTATTTTTTATTTTTATTTTTATTTCATTTGAGAGAGAGAGAGTGAGTGAGGGAGAGGAGCAGAGAGAGAGAAAAAGAGAGACAATCTTTTTTTTATGCTAAAGAATTTTATTATTTTTTTTCAATATATGAAATTTATTGTCAAATTCGTTTCCATACAACACCCAGTGCTCATCCCAAAAGGTGCCCTCCAAAGAGAGACAATCTTAAGCAAGCTCCACCATCAGTGAGGAGCCCAACTTGGGGTTTGATCTCACAACCTTGGGATCATGACCTGAGCTTAAATCAAGAGTCAAATGCTCAACCCACTGAGCCACCCAGGTGCCCCAACAAAGCCCTTTCTGTGAGAAAAGGGGAAGTAAAATTTGAGCAGGCAAATAAAGGTGAGTAAGGAGTTCTCTTTTCTCCTTAAGTCCCTCCTCAGTGGGAAAGACATTATAACTGCTGACACTAGCCTTGACTTTGAAAGAAGAACTGATTCTGAGTCTGTAGGAACTCCTGCTCTTTCTGATGGGCTGAGGATAAAGAGGAACCCTAAACTCTCTTGCATGGCATGTGCTATCCCTGAAGTCGTGGGCAGTGGAGGGAAGAGTTATAGAATATAAGAAGTGGTGAGATTCTTTTCTGCAGCCATGGAGAACTTTTGATGTTCAAACTAGCACGGCTTTAATCTCTGTTACTTAATAAGAGAGTAGGCCTAAGGTAGAGCTACAGGGAAAGACTGACCTGTGGTGCTCTCCAGGCATGGAGAATTGTTGATCACATGGAAAGGTCTAAGGTTGGAGTGAAGCCAGCAATGGTCAGTGGATTGTAATGCCAATGGATCCAGAAAGAGACTCCTGACAATATGCTCTGGCCCAGAGTGAGATCCCCTAGGCCTGGGAGGGTAACCATGGAAGTCATTGGCCCTGTGGCCAAAGACAATTTCTCATGGCAGCGGCACCCAGGCAAGGGTCTGTGGAAAACTCCATCATGCCACTTAGGGAAATTTAATAACAATGATTTCAATGCTCACCCCAGAGAGGCTGATTCAGCAAGGCCTCCAACTATATTTTTAAAAACACTTTTTAGACAATTTTATACATACAGCCAGGTTTAGAAACCAATACCTTAGTACATGATTTGCCAACTTTTTAGCAGAAATATTCATTCATTAGATACTTATTGAACAACTGTTATATGTCATTTATTGTTCTAAGCCCTGGGCAAGCAGAGGTGAATGAGACTGGTGATATATTTATAGCGCTTCAAAATATGGAACAGATAAAAATGAGGAGTGGATTTTTCAGGAATTTTAAATATTCATTGTTTGGCAGAAAGTACTGGTTTTTGCTGAAGCCCTGAAGCACCATCAGATGCTGTGATATATAGTTTGAGAATCTCTGCCTTGGAGGCCTGGGAAACAGTTTGGAGCAATAAAACTAGAACCGGCGTTCAGTTTCCAGATCCGTTAGGTGGGGACACATTACAGTTTTACTGTGAGTTACAAAAGTTCCAAACACAAAGCATGGTGTATGGTGCTTGGTGTGCAGCTGGCCCTGGCTGCATTTTCTTTCTCTTTCTCTTCTCTTTGCTCAAGGGGCAGGCAATCTAAGCAAGAGGAGGAGGAAACATCTGGAAGTGTGCTGCCAGAGGGACCTGTGGATCAGGCAGGTTATAAGGAGCACAAAGTGCAAAGGCCGAGGAAAGGCCCTACCCCAACTGTAACAAGGAGCAGCCACAGATGCAGAATGGTACAGCTGCTGTGGGCAACAGTCTGGGAGTGCCTCAAACAAGTTAAACCGAGTATCACCCTATGACCCATCAGGTCCCCTCCTAGTTGTATATCCACAAGAGAAGAAGACACATGTCCACCCAAAGACATGTAACCACGGTTCACCGTAGCATTATCCATGACAGCCAAAAAGTAGAAACAACCCAAATGTCTATCAAGTGATGAATGGATAAACAAAATTGGATATATCCATACAGTGGAATATTATTCAGCCATAAAAAGGAATGAAACACACACACACACACACACACACACACACACACACACAAAGTAATGAAACACTGCTAATGTGCAACAGCATGATAAGCTTGAAATCAATAAAGAGTGAAAGGTCACAGAAAACCACATATTGTAGGGTTCCATTTACATGTTTAGAATAAGAAAATTGATAGAAACAGAAACTAGATTAGTGATGGCCAGGGACTGGTGGAGGGAGTAGGGGGTGATTGCTGATTGGCAAGGGGTTTCTTTTGGGGTGATAACAATGTTCTGAAACCAGATAGTGGCAGTGGCTACACAATCTTGTGAATATACTGAAACCCACTGAGTTGCATACTTTAAAAAGGTGAATTTTATGATATGTAAATTATATCTCAATCTAAAAATTTTTTTAAATTTTTTCAATGTTCATTTATTTTTGAGAGACAGAGAGAGACAGAGCATGCGTGGGGGAGGGGCAGAGAGAGAGGGAGACACAGATTCTGAAGCAGGCTCCAGCCTCTGAGCTGTCGCACAGAGCCTGACATGGGGCTCAAACTCATGAACCGTGAGATTATGACCTGAGCTGAAGTCGGATGCTTAACCAACTGAGCCACCCAGGTGCCCTGCAATCTAAAAATTTTTTTAAGAAAGAAGCAACCACAGATGATAAAGGCAGCCCTGTGTTGTGTGTCTAAGAACTAAGAAAATGCCCAGACCCTATCGTGCCTTAGCTGGAACCCGTAAGACGCTGCAGAAGGGGACCCAGGGTTCAGATGACAAACCTGGTCAGGCCCAAGATTGCCTTTCTTTGCTGGGTTTGATAAGTTTATCAGTATCTCAGACAAGAGGGACTGGTGATTAACAAAACTATGCCTATTATAATAATTATCTTTTCTAGTCCTATGTTGATTTTTTTTATACACATTTATACTCAAGTCATAGGAATGGTTTATTAATTTTCTTTTTTTAATGTTTATTTATTTTGGGAGAGAGAGGGAGGGAGGGAGTGTATGGGGGGAGGGACAGAGAGAGAGGGAGAGAAAGAATCCCAAGCAGGCTCTGCACTGTCAGCATGGAGCCCCACACGGGGTTCAATCTCACAAACCATGAGATCATGACCTGAACTGAAATCAACAGTCGGACACTTAAGTAACTAAACCACCCAGGCACCCCAATTTGTCAATTTTCAAATACTTACTTCAGTTTGCTGTTTTTCAAAGACCCAGTTCCAGAAGCCCATTCGGATTGTCAGAAATTCAGTGACA